TAAATAATGTAATAACCAGTGAAAACTTTGATGAAAACTATGGGTATATACCTGAAATATTTTTTTGGAAGTTTTAATTATTAATTATTTGTTATGTTAGCATACAATTGTTTTTGCAGCCATAGATGGAGTTGAATTATAGAATATGCAGTTATATGGTATATTATTGTTATAATGAACTACAAAATTTTACTGATTTATGCCAAATATAATTTACATTCAGAAAATTTAATTTAGGTATATATATATATATACGAGTATATATATATATATATATATATATATATATATATATATATATATATATAATAACCAACTAGCATTAATATCTGATATTTTATGATTGTTTAAGTTATAAATGCAAAGTACTCCTGTAATCACGCCTGTAGAACTGTAGTACATTGACACGAAGTGCAAGTTTGATGTCCACTACAACTTTTATATCGATTAGTCAGAATAACGTCATATTTGACGCACATAGATGGAAATAGGTGAGTGGATAAACAATATTAATATGCTTACATAGATGTATTTCGTTATTATAGTATTATAGTCGATTGGTGGACGTCTACGTCCGTCGTACGTCGTAATATTATTATTTATAATTATTACAGCCGTTAACTGTCCACTGCTGGACATAAGCCTTCCCCATAAGGAAACTTTTGCCAGTAGTTGCGTCGGTAGGCGGATCGACAATCGTAGTTAGGCTTTTAGAGACATTCGAAGAGGGACGCTGATGTCCAAATCTGACATATAAATATGCTGAATCCCTATAATAAATATTTAATTAAAATCTTACTAATATAATAAAATTGTAAATTGGCTGTCTGTACATGGGAAATTATTTAAGAAAAAACAACAAGGGGTCTTAAAAACTAATATAAGACTAATAGGTACCAAAACTATAATTTTTAGAAAATATATCTATCTGTCTGTCGATATGTTTGTTCCGGTATCACGCAAAAACTACTGCATCAAATTGGATACAGTCGTCACAGTTGTATACCTGAAACCCTTTTTTGTCTTAATACGCCATCCAGAAATGGCGTATTTTGTTGTTTTTCTAACTTTTATTTTATGCAACTTGGAATGGCAAACAAGCTGATGGCCCACCTGATGGTAAGTGGTAACCTTCGCCTATAGACATGAGCAGTAGCATGGACATAACAGAGTATACTGTTTCGCCCATGATACTCCCCATGCGTTGCCATTCCTGAGGACTCAGGTGTTATTCCTCTGTAATTTCACTGCCATATTCCATTCAAGTACTTAATTATAAAATTATTATATATTTTTGTTCTATATTCTATCTTTATTGTATAACAGCGTTAATGTAGTAGGCAGTTAATTAAAAGGAAAAGAGAAACATATAAGCACAAGTTCTTTGTAGAATAAATCTGACAGGGGTGGTCCGGGCACGAAAATATTTATGGGATAAAACCAACTAGGGCAGTTAAAAGTGGACGGAGTTTTCTATCAGTAAAACGAAACACGTTTCCTTAAGAAATTGGGTCAAATACTATCCACTTAGTAGGTAAATTAGGAGGCTAAAATTTTTTTTTCGGTTTTAAAAAAATGTATACCTACTTAATATTTTTTTATTTCACTCTATATGTTGGATTAAATCAATATCGTCATCATAGATGTCCACTGCTGAACATAGGCCTCCCCATAGACTGCCATAAGGAACTGTTCTGAGCCACCTGCTTCCTGTAATGCATTTGAGATCGTCACTCTATTCAGTGAGGGATCTTATCATCCACAATCAATATAATTGATATCATCAAGAGTTGTCTATGGTGATGAAATGAGTGTTCCACTAGTACAGCTGTTTTTCAAAATATTTTTCTTTTAGGAAAACGGCATAAGTCTTTAACCCGTTTAAAACGTGTCAACTTTTAGTCAGTCAAATGTGAAATTGGTCGACACATTTTTTTTATCCAAATCCAAATAAACGCCTTTTTCAGTGCTACAAGTAATTGGATTAAAAATTTCCCAAATTTTTTAATTAGAATTGGTAGCTATTTTTTTTATGTAATATGAATACATATGTGCGTATTGCTTACAAATTAATATACAGGTATTAATTAAAATGGCGGCCATTTTCAATTATTTAAAAGTGAAAATAAATTGTATTTACTCAGTTATAAATCAAAGATAAGCATCATTGCGAATCATTATGAATTGTTTATCCGGGACTTTCAAATATAAAAATTTTGTATAGTTTTTATTTTTTAATTTAACCTTATATTTTTCCCATATAATTAGTAATAAGTGTAAATTATAACAAACCTTATTCACGCAGCATAGACAAAAATGTGACCTGTTTTTAGCGAACATTTTTATGAAGACGCTCTATCTATATAATCTAAGACCCTCCCATACTAACGTAATAGCTGAACCTATCTGGTTATTGTAGAAGATTTAAAGTATCTACCATTTTTTCCATTTATCCATATTTCTTTAGGCTTTTCGTTTTTAATTTCACTCTGTAATTGATAGATCTGGAATTTAATGTACTCTACGTCGTTTCCGACAATTATTTCGACTTCTTCAGGGTGAGTACGGTGCTTGCATCGCAGTGACCCGCTTCCTTTTATTAGTTAATTAAATTCCCGTCAACCATACGCAAAGGGTCCAGTTAGATGAGCAGAACTCCTTCAGCAATTCATAGTAGGCAATTTTCTTTTCTTTTGATCTTACTCTGCCTTTAATTTAAATCTTTCTACGTTCATATCGAGAACTAGCTTTGACAATTGAACAACTTTGTTAACACAAACATTGATAACTTTAATTTTTAAATTTCTATATAGAAATAAATGCCATGTTGTTCTAGCATAGAATGGTTAACCCTTCCTCTCCCGTAGGTGGCCTAAGAGGCGACGAAGGAAACTTACTCGTAATGGTCGAGGGATGGGCAGCAGCGTTCCTCTTAAAACACCCCCAAAGTCTAACTACTGCCAAAACCCCTTTTATGGGAAAGATTATGTTCAGCAGTGGGCAGTTAATAGCTGATACAACAATAAACAAACCAACCGAATTGTTATATAGCCTCTAGAAATATACTTACTATATAACTTTAGTCGATCCGATTATAATACTGCGAACAGACTGTAATTCGCCGACCAATGTATTTTCGTCTCTATTTGGGAGCAATAAAATCTATATTTGCATCTAAAAAGATCCATATAATAAGATAGGTATTTTCGGTGACCGTCTGTCCTTCACCCCTACTTTTTGTCGGTTTCAGATTCCGTCTCTCTCTACGTAATGGCTCGCTTTTTCAGTCCTCATCCTTACTTTTATTATTCTTATACCTAATCCGATTTCTTTATTTCGTATTATCTTGTGAAAGTTTACGCTGATTTAGTGTTTTAATTTTTTCAAGTCCTCTTTTTTAAGGGGATGTCAATTACTTAGCGGTGCAAATTATAATGTTATGCTAATATGTTTATTATACTTCTAAGGTTATTTTAAATTGAACTTAAACTTGATGCATCATTCTCAACCAGGACAAAACTTTTCCGGTCAAACCGGAACACCAGGAGACACGTAATTATTAGAATTTTCAACAAATATTAATAATATTTTTAAAATATTCCCGTCAAGATACCTCCAGAGGGAGATTTTGTACAAAAGTCTATTGCTTGGGTACCTCTGTCCCATTCGTGTTTCAACCGTGATGCAGTCGTGTTTGCATGGCTGTGTTTCGGTTTGAAGGGTGGGATATGGCGTGGATTTACTGGGTACAGAGGAATAACACCCGAGTCCTCAGGAGTGGCAACGAATGGGGTTATTATTTTATTAGTTATGGGTTATTATTTTATATACTGAAAATATGATACATGCACATGCATAGTGTATCTTTTCAAATTAAAATTTTGTAAAAAATTTACTTCGGATTTTTTTAACAACAAACGTTACTGGCTGGATAGAAATGAGTGCATAAATTGATTATATGCGCTCTTTCAGCGCCATGTTTTAATCTCTAGCTGTGTTGTTTTATGTGTCCCGTTTAATTTTCCAATTCAAATCATCTTTATTCAATTAGACTTGAAAGTACTATTACATTGTCATTTTTATGAATCTACTGCAGGATTCGGAATATGGTTATCTGCTACAAAGACCCTCCAAGACGAGACCACTGAGGAGAGAAAAAGATAAACTTACTACAGTTTACAGCCAATTCTTATATACTTACCTCTTCATAATCTAAAAAACTACTTGAATTTTTGACAGTAATTTTATGTAAGGTAAATTGTTTTTACTTTTTATGAAATTTACAGGTACATAGACATCGGTCATGAAAGGATTTCTGAAAATTCCCACAGGAACGTATGTATGTATATTATGTAGTTATATAAAATATAAATGTTTCTAAATGTAATCCTTTGCCATATTACATATAATTTAAATACAGAAAAATATATGAAGAAATATAAAAAATTTAAAATATGAGAATTATATTATATTCTCATATTTATGAAGAAGCGGGTAGATTTGGAATCTGTACTTCTACGCTTACACATAGCACCCGCATTAAGTGCTCTTACAAATGGAGATAATGAATTAAAATTTATTGAAATTGCCTATCTACACGTACTTCTTATACCTTATTCGAAAAGCATTACTGTGTTCGGCCCGCGTGTTTTACTTTCGAGAGACGATTAACCGCTAGACGAATTTATAATTAGAACCGTTTGCAATTGTTTAACTTTTAATTACTTTTCATAAGAATCGATCTTTGAGTAATAATAGGTACCTATGTTGACTTTGTAAAATCGTCTATTTTAACTCCTTAAGTTGTAATTGACAAATTCTAATTTTAATATTTTTTTTTATTAATTATAATAAACTTATATATTACTTAAAATAGTTTTTACAAACTTTAAATAAAATATAAAACTGAAACAAATTCTATAAAGTTATTTTATTTAAATAATTCATGTGCCTAATATCTGATTAAGTAGGCTTTATGGTTATTAGAAGTTATCTCTTACCATGAATAAATCGGCATTGAGCAATCCAATCACATAAACAGTTATCATTATCACACCCATATCCACTCGGCATCACCCTTATCACAAAACAAAACATGAAAAGTCAATACACGACACTTATTAATCGTAATATCGAAAACTTTAACACATGTCTAATGGCCATGTTCGAATGTCATGTGTAAATTTCGAAACATTCGATTTTTGAATTTTTTAAGAAATAATTGGCGGGATTATGACGAGGTTTTATTCTTTTTTTATTGAAATATGAGGCATTGATATCCTTGTGCAGCCAACACGCTTGCGCGGTTCTCCCGACATTGCGCGACTGAGTGAGCGAGCGAAACGATGGACGTATTCCGAATCGCGTACCTGTTACATTTTTGAGGGTTGTGCGCTTGCGTACATATAACCTAGTACGGAACCATTATACGGCTTACAATTATTAAGTTGGATATATGATATTTTAGATAATATAGAGTTTGTAAACGTCGATGTAGTTGGAAATGTTGACTTTATGCAGTGAATTTAGAGGATTGTTGTAATCACCGTCGCTAAACAAATTCGAAATTTCTTGTTTACTAATATTTAAAGCATCATTTTCAATATTAAAATACTTATTTATTTTATCTTTTCTAAAGTTTACACTATACAAAATCAATTAAATAAATAAAATTGTGTTATACCCCTGTGTATGGAAATTTGTTGATATTTAAATCAATAATTAGGTCTAAAGCGGTAATTCGTTCTTCTGGGTAGAATCGAATTTTGATGCTGCACCACTATCCAGAATTAAAAAAAAAAAGTATTAATTTTGAATTCTTGGTCTATATTAAAAAGCCTTTCGTGTATATGTAAAAAACTCTACTTAACAGTTTTATAGCGTCATGCTATTTTGAGATGTATATAAAATAATTTATATGGATTCATAATATCTAATTGTAAGCAGTTATAAATGTATAAAAAATAATCTTAATTCAATTTGAAAACTCTTATTCTGGAAAATAATATTTCCATTTTAAAAGAAAAATTTAATTATTTTTAAGCGGTAAACCCTAAAATGGGTTTATACACAGATTTCTAGGGCGATTAGTATTTCCATTGGCGTTGAGATTTGAAATCCTTATATTATAAATCTGAAAATTTGTAAATTGTTTGGATGTTTGTTACTTGTGGGCTAACTAACCTGCCTTTTCATCACCTTTCATTCTTCTTCGCCCCGCCTACGTATATCATAAGCGCAGGCGAGGTTACTATATCATTCTATAAAAAAAATACTATTATATATTTTATATATACTTTATTGTACTTGTATGTTTTTTATTTAATGGGTGGAAATGGAATGGTAACGTCGCCTGCGCTATCGGTATACGCTGGCGGGGCACCGGTGATAGATGATAGGTGAAAATGAAGGTAAGTCAGTTAGCCCATCATGAAGAAATCATAAAGGATTAACCACAATGGTTTCCAGGAGGAACCGTGTGGAGGCCGACCTGATAGGGTGTATTGTTAGCAATGGGCTGTAAGAAACTATTACTAACAATCCCTTTCCCCCCTGTACTTGTATGTTACATAAATAAAACATTATAAATATTGTGAACAAGGGATATTTGCTGTGATCTGTGTGTTTTATGATATATATACCTAAGTACTAAATACAATATATTTATATAAAATTATCAATTAACAGGTATGCTGACCCTCCTGGTGGGCTTAGAATAGAATAGAATAGAATAGAATAGAAATCATTTATTCAAATAAACTTACATTGAAGCACTTTTGAAAAGTCATTACATTTTTTTTAATTTACCGCTCGTTCGGAAAGCTGTCTCATCACAAGAAGAACGAGCAAGAAACTTGCGTGATGCTCTTTTAAATAATTTTATTATTATTTTACATTTTTAAGTTTAATTGTGTGAATACAAACCACCAATTAGCACTAATTCAATTAAATAATCAAAAAGAAAAAAAAAATTGAATACATAACCAACTGGTTAAACAATTAATAAGAGGAAATCAGTCATAGTGATTAGAGCAGACCAGTCCCTACAAGCAGCACCCGTTCACGAGTATGACGGATGAGCCAGCCATCACTGCGCTCGACCATATTTTAGGGAGCCCAATGACCCGGCCCACCACGCCGCCACAAGTCTGGACATTTTAGTGAGCATGACTACTCAAAACACTAGACCACGTCAAAGCTACGCTAAGCTTTCTTTCTGTAATGGATAAAAATGGAATGGAAACCCCGCCTGCGCTACCCGTATACGCTGACGGGGCTTCAGTAAGGGATGATAGTTGAGAATGAAAAAGCAGGTCAGTTAGCCCATCGTGATGAATACATCTGGCTTTCAGCACGATGGTTTCTAGAGGGAACCACGTGGAATTCGACCGCATGCTGGATTGTTAGTAATGCGGCTGGTAGTCCGCTTTACTAACAATCCCTTCCCTTCCTGGTGGGAGGATTGAGTAGGAGCCTCGGGGTAGACCCCTTTGCCCTGGCTTCAACTTCGAAGGTGACTACCCCCGGGTTTCTGGGTTCCTTCCTTTTTGAGTGAGGCATGGTATCCTATATTGTGGTGGTGAATGTTAGTGAGCAGGAGCTCTTTTAATTTTTTTAAAATAGATAATTAACTGTCCTATACCAGGATATTACATTAATATATATGGGCACATATATATATTTTTTTATATGATATGAAATAAAAATATAAATTATTGTCCCGTGTGTGTCTCGGAATATAATGGGCCACCCCTTCCTTTTCCGTGGGTGTCGTAAGAGGCGACTAAGGGAGGGCGAAGGATGGGCAGCAGTGTCCCTCTTAAAATATCTTCAAAGCCTAACTGCGGTTGCCAATCTGCCTTTCAAACGTAGCAGCTATTGGAAAGACCTCCCTAGGGGGAGGCTTGTGTTCAGCTTATGTCAGTTATGGACAGTTAAAAGTTGATATGATGATGATGATGATATGATAAAAAATATATATAGCCCGGAATTTATTCATCCTCCCCCCCCCCCCACAACTGCTAGTAAATAGATAGATAAAAAATATAAATTACGGATTACGTTCGCCGCTAGAAGTGCAACGGACCTCCCCCTGTTTGGGGGATTCACTGCACACAGCGCGGGGAAAAGGATGGGGTGGGGGTGAAGGAAGAAGAGGATTATGGGGAGAGGAAACGTCGCGTCGGAAGGAACATCATCCTTAGCCATCGCCTAGGAAATCCCTGGGAGTATGGCGGCCATCCGGAGGACGTGCACACAGCGGCGCAAGACCCCTTAGGTGAAGATGGGGGCCACCGTCGGCACGGGTAAACATTCAGTTCGCCATGCCGACCACGAACCCCTCCGAACCCCCGAACAAAAGGGACCCCGAAATTGCGGGCGAACACGTCATCCGGGATGTTGTGGGTATCTAGAGAAAAAATTACCTTTGTTTTGTTTTAGGTAAAGGCGTTTAGTAAAGTCTCTTACTCCGATTGTTACGTTTTTTTCTTTCACAAGACACAATGGGCCCCACACTAGACGAACCTGAGTCCTCACTTATCACTGGTGTCCCACCTGATTACCATTCTCTTTTATAACTTATTAACTTTTTGTCCGTCACTTCGTACGCGTGAATTTCAAAAATAGAAATACCAGTGAAATAGTTCACTTCTAGATAGGTACTTTTTTTTTTTTTTTTACAACACAGGGGGCAAACGAGCATGCGGCTCACCTGATGGTAAGTGACTACCGCCGCCCATGGTCACCCACAACACCTACGGCATTGCAGGTGTGCTGCCGGCCTTTTAAAAAGGAATATGCTCTTTTCTTGAAGGTTATGTTGTCGTATCGGTTCGGAAATACTGCTGCTGGAAGTTGATTCCAAAGAGTGGTTGTGCGTGGAAGAAAATGCCTTGAAAAACGCACGGTGGAGGACCGCCACTCGTCCAGATGGTTGGGATGAAATTTTAGTTTATGGCGGGTTGTACGATGGTGAAAATCTGCAGCAGGTATCAATCCGAACAATTCTTCAGAGCACTCCCCAAGATAAATTCGGTAGAAGATGCACAGAGATGCAACATCTCTACGCAGTTTCAGTGGGTCGAGCCGGACAGTAAGACGCCGATCGTCAACAATTCGAGCTGCCCGACTTTAAATGCGGTCTAACGGAAAGAGTTGGTACTGTGGCGCTCCTGCCCACAGGTGAGAACAGTATTCCATGTGTGGCCTCACTTGAGCTTTATACAGTTTCAGGCGGTTTTCTGGCGTGAAATACCGTCTCACCCTATTGAGCACCCCCAACTTTTTGGAAGCTATCTTAGCTTTTTCCTCCAGATGACCGCAAAACTGGACGTCGCTAGATATATCGACGCCAAGAATCCCCAGACTCGACTTATTATCAAGGGAAGTGCCTTGAAAGTGAGGTGATACGACAAACGGTGTCTTTTTTGCGGTGAACGCGCAGACTTGTGTCTTCTTAGGGTTAAAGTGAACAAGATTGCGTTCACCCCAGATCGAAACTTTATCGAGTGAAGTTTCGATTTCAGACACAAGTCTGTTCCGGAGCTCATCGGTATGTGCCCGCGAGATCTTTGCATGACCGGTGTATAATGCATCTCCTGTACTGTCGTCCGCATAACAATGAATATCACTGATCTGTAACATATCATTGATATGCAGAAGAAACAGTGTCGGAGATAGTACACAGCCTTGCGGGACACCAGCATTCACAGGTTTTAAGTCAGAGCATGCTCCGTCGACTACGACCTTAATGCTACGTTCCTTAAGAAAGCTGGCGACCCAACTGCACAATCTCGCAGGCAACCCAAACGAAGGTAGTTTTGAGATTAGTGCCCTATGCCACACCCGATCAAAGGCTTTCGCAATATCCAGACTAACAGCTAAGGCCTCTCCCTTATTCTCGATTGCCACTGCCCATCGGTGTGTTAAATAAACTAAAAGATCACCAGCCGAGCGTCCCCGTCGAAAGCCGTACTGGCGGTCTGAGATCAGCTGGCGATCCTCTAGGTACCGGAGCAGTTGATGGTTAATAACTGATTCCATGACTTTCGAGAATAAGGAAGTGATAGCTATGGGCCTATAGTTAGCTGGATCTGAGCGGTCTCCTTTTTTAGGGATCGGATGGACCAAAGCAGTCTTCCAAAACTTTGGGACTATACCTGATGAGTAACAGAGCCGAAAAAGACGCGTAAGAACCGGAGCCAACTCTGGTGCGCACGTCCTTAGCACAATTGGAGGAATGCCATCGGGCCCGCTCGACTTATGGATTTCAAGGGAGAGAAGTGCTCTACGCACTGATCTTTGCGTGAATTTAACATCCGGCATAGAGCTCCTACAACGCGGGA